TACAGAGTCTCTGTGCGTTATTTGTGGCTGGCGCGGCGGTGGGACAAGACCAGCGGTGGGTGGAAAAACATATTCCTTACACACAAGTGGCCAAACACACAAAAACATACAACATTCATTCACATATATTTATATGTATATATATGCATACACCATACATTTAGATAAAAGTGGAAAAATAAAATAATAATAATAAAATAGATATAAGATAAAGCACAAAGATCAATTATATATATATGAATATTCACTGTAATCAGTAAAAAATATCTTGAAAATGAGATGCTATTTAAAAGAGCAATCAAATCCACCGGGTGTTGATGGCTCACGGCTTTAATCCCAGCATTTGGGAGGCAGAGGAAGGTGGAACTCTGTGAGTTTGAGGCCAGCCCAGTCTACAAAGCTACTTCCAGGACAGGCTCTGAAACAATACAGAGAAACTCTAGGGTGGGAGGAAGAGTAACCAAACTCAAGGGTAATGGCAAACAAAACTACACGAAATAATAAAGAAATATGTTGAACATACTCAAAAATATATAACCTAAGTTGTTAAATTTTAAAGACCTAATTGATGTACATATGAGTAAACATATATACCTAAGGTGTTTATTTTAAAACATTTATTTATGTATGAGTGTTGACTGCCCTCATCTATCATTCTCTTTAAGGAGTAAAGTTTTTCCGCCCTAGCAGTTTGCTTCAAGGGGATGTGTAAGGTCTTGTCCTGCTGCCGCGCCAGCCCCAATTAACACCCAGAGACTCTGTATTTGATATAGTGCTGTTGGCCAGGTACTTGTTTCTTATCGGCTAGCTCTGTCTTAAGTATTAACCCATTTCTGTTAATCTACCTATTTCCACCTGCTTTCATCTTACCGGAGAGCAGGCTTGCGCCCTGCTCTCCCCAGTCTCTCCATCTTGACTCCTCCTTTTTACTTCCTCTTTCCTCTTTGTCTCCTAGTCCCGCCTGTCTTGCTTTCCTATTGGCCAACAGTGCTTTATTCATTAACCAGTATGAGAAACATATATACAGAATGACATCTCTCATCATCTCCTCTTTTCTGTCTAAAATAAAAGGGTTTTAACCTTAACATAGCAAAATATATCATACAACAGTTATCAAATAAGAATCACAGTTAACAATATTTAGTCCATTAACATTTAACAAGACCTGAAGAAAATATTCCATCATCTATTTTATTTTTGTATGTCTAGAGTCTATATAACTTATCTTTAATCCTAAGGAAAACTATAACCAAAACTATCTGTCTTCAACTCCATCAAAGACCACAGAAGGATAATATATAAACTCTAGAAATGACAGAGACAACTCACTGCCTGGTCAGTCACCCAAAGTTCTTCTGTAATCTTCCATCTTCAGCCCATAGGCCATAGTGTGTCTGGCAGACTCCTCAGCAAAGCAGGAAAATTTAAACTGTCCACCTGTATTGGCAGTTTGTCAGTCACTTTTTTCTGTGTCCTGCAGACTGTCTGGCAGACTCTTCCATGAAGCAGGAACTCTGTAGCAATGTCCATCTTGAATCAGCAGTCACTTTTCTGTGGGCCCTGCATGTCCAGTTTATACAGCATAAAGTCAAACAGTCCAGACAAGAGCAGTATCTTTCCCAAATGGCTAGTCTTGCCATATTGGAAGCAAACTCCATAACGTGTTTCTTCAATGTTCATCTTCCTTTCTGTTGCCAGGAGCAATTGTGCCTCATTGTCAAGAAAAACCCTAAACCATTTTAAATGCCGTATTCTGTAGGTCTTTGAAAGGTTTGAAGAATCATCTCCCATCAATTCTCCATTTATCTCTTTGAGGCAGGGTTTTTCCCTGAATCTGGGTCTTTCATTTTCTCTGCTAGATGTGATTATTTATGATTTATTAAAGCTTGCTTGAGTATTCAGAAAGCAAATTAAGCCTCAAGTTATAGAGATCGGGCAGTGGTGATGCACACCATTAATCTCAGCAGTCAGATGCTTGGAGGTGTTGGTGCACACCTTTAATCCTAGGACTCAGGATTAAGAGGTAGACAGATGTCTGTGAGTTCAAGGCCACCCAGATCTACACAAGATTGATCCAGTCCTAAAGAGAAATAGTTCACACAAAGGTGATCTCAGCACCTGGGACCACACACCTTTAATCCCAGCACTAGAGGGGTATAAAAATTAGAAGCAGTATCTTTGTTGTCAGTATCAGGCATTCATTCTCCAGTCACATTGAGGATATGAAGACATTCAGTCTCAGGATTCCCCAGCCATGCTGAGGACAGGCAGCAGGATCAGCCTGAGGTAGTGGTAAGAGCTGGTGGGCCACACTTTGCTTTCCTAATCTTCAGCTTGAAGTGTGAACCCCAATATCTGTCTCTGGGTTTTTTTATTTATCGTGTAACAGTTAGACCAGAAAAGCAACAAGCCCCAGTGATTTCCTGTTGCTGCCCACGTAGCGTCTGGGTGCGCACCCAGGAGCACACAGGATTTCTGGATTGTTTTATGGGTGCTGGGATCTGCACTCTGTCCCTTGCGATTGTACAGCAAAAGCTCTCAACCAGTCCATAACCAGAGATATTTGAGAAAGATGTAAAAATGCCTGTTGCAGAACCAATAACCTTGACCAAAAGGTTGAAAACAGACGAAGAGTACGCTGATGTGAAAATGGACACCTTAACTTTTTATCTACAGCGTGGAGTTATCTGCAGCAGTTAAAAAATATTTCTACATGAGATTCCTAGTTAATATCTGTCTGAGACCATTTTCAACGTAAAGTACCTATAAAGGCAAGGCAGTAAATAACATAATGTCCGATACCACTGAGTATTATCAGAATACCCTAGAAAGGTCCCAGCTGGAGCCAGGATAGATCTCCTGTTTGCTAAAGAGCCTCCCTCTCAGAGCTCAGAACCACTACAGAACACGAGGTCCCAGAGGTGAGCCTGAGCAAGCTCCCAAGAAAAGCAGAGAGAAACAGCCCAGAGGTGGAGCTGTGGCTCAGAGACAACCTCAAGGACTTCAGCAGCCCTGGTCCCTTCCCAAGGGTGTCCTTGACATAGCTGGAAAAGTGTGGCTTCATGTTTGAGTAAGGAGCTCCCATTTTGGATCTTCATCCAAACAGCCCCTCAAGGAACTGGCCTCCCACTAGCCCAGCCCAGCTCCAAATAGGCGTCAGCATTACTTTCTGCATGGGGACAGTGGTCAACAGTCAAGTAGGTTACCCTGCTGCAAATTTCTGAGCATCTGCCATTTTGTGCCTGGGATGCCTGAGACAGCAGAGGTGTGCACATCTTGGGTTGTGGGGAGGGGTGGATCAGCCAAGCCTTAGCCTAGCATGTCCACAACACTGCTAACATTAAAAACCTGCTTTAGAGAGAACAAGGAAGTCATTCACGCCATCACACAGGAACACAGATTCAAAGTTATCCTTTATCCCGATGGACATGTGGAAATTACATGAGCAACTTTATAGTCACAGAAGTAAAGTGAGCCAAATGTGGTTTCATCAGATAGGTATAGAGAGAATATAGAGGTACGTAGAGAAAGTGTATGTATATATATGTATATATTGTATGTATATATGGAAGAATCTCTTCTACAGGGTTCATAAGCGAGGCCCTGTCTCAAGGAAACATCACAGGGCCAGCAGGTGAAGATGTTGCTGGTAACGCAGAAGCAGCATTCAGTTCCAGGAATCTGCATGGTAGAGGGAGGGTGCTGACTCCTCCAGGTTGTCCTCTGAGCTTCATGGATGTTCTGTTACCTGTGTGTGCTCACCTTACACATGAGTAAATAACCATAATAAAAGACTGAAACCAGAGCAGCCAAGCAACTAGCAAACTTTCTTTTTTTTTCTCCATCCTGTAATTGAAAGGGAATCCAACAATCCAATAAAAGAATTAAGAAACATACAGCTTTCTCTAGCCGAAGGAAAAAGGTCAGATTCCCTGTGAGTGAGGGTCCCCAAAGAGTACTGGGATAATGACCTGGCTAGCTCCTCTTCTGCAAATGAAAAAACCCGGCAAACCGTGTGTGATGACAGCCCAGTACAGGGTCACCCTTCTGCACATGTGTGGTGTCTCTGTAGGTATTTGAGTTTGGGATTTCAATGGAAGATAAGAAACATTCTCTCTGGAGGCAGCTCATCCTTTTAAAACTGGGTTTTAGTCTGGGTAGTGGTGGCGCACACCTTTAATCCCAGCACTCAGGAGGCTAAGGCAGTTGGATCTCTGTAAGTCTGAGGCCAGCCTGGTCTCTACAGAGCGAGTTCCAAAGCTACAGAGAAACTCTATCTGGAAAAAACAACAACAAAAGAAGCAAAAAATAGTTTTAAATATATTCTTTTAAAATTCTGTACATGCATACAATGTATCTTGATCATATCATTTTCCCCTCCATGTCCCTCCCATCTTACTCACAACTTTTATAAGTTAATTTATTTTAACCCATTGAGCCGTATTAGTGCTACCCATATGTACACGGTTTTGTGGTGCTATCCACAGGGATGTGGCAAACCAGTCACCATACCTCAAAGAAAAGAGACTGGCCGCCATTAACTACAGTTAACTCCTCCGGTAGGGGTGGGACCCTGGAAGCCCCTCCCACCCATGGTTAAATTATAACTGGCTTGTATAGGTAACCACAGCCGCTGTAGGTTTGTGGTGTGACAGCCATGTCATGGTCAGGGACAGCATTTCAGAGCACCCCTTCTCCATCCCCTGGGCTCTTACATTCTTTCTGTCCCCTTTTCTACGATGTTTCCTAAGCCCTGAGAGAGGGGTGATATCGATGTCCCATGATGCCTCTTGACTGCTGGGCACTCAGGCCACTTATCATCATCGCTTTCAGCTGAATCACACCTTTGCATTAATTACTATCCACTGCAGTAGGAAGTGTCTCTGACCAATGCTGGAAACATAAATACCTCACCTCCTTTTCTTCCTCTCCTCACAGGTCCTTGCTACGGTTGCCTACTCTCTCCATGCATTCTCATTCCGATTTTCCAGACGCACGCCATGGCCAATCTCTCTGCAGGGTCTGTAGGTTTCTCCACCGTCCCTGCATTACAGATGTTGAGCACCGCTGCCTTCCTCCTCATATACCTGGCTGCGTTTCTGGGGAATGTCTCTATCTTGATAGCCGTGACGCTGAATACCCGCCTGCACACCCCCGTGTACTTCTTTGTCAAACACCTCTCCCTGGCGGATCTCTGTTCTATGTCCACCACTCTGCCCCGGGGCCCTGGTGGATACCATGGCAGACACTAGAGAGTTTTCTCTCCCGGCCTGTGTATCCCGGCTTTTTGCTTTTGTCTGCTTTGGCTCTCTCAAATGTTTTCTCATCACCTCCGAGGCCTTTTCCACCTTCCACACGGTCAACGCTTTCTCCTTGCCCTTCTGTGGCCCCAATGTGCTCGACCACTTCTTCTGTGATATTCCTCCACTCTTGCATCTAGCCTGTGGTGACACCGAAGGCCACGCGGCTGTGGGTTTTGCAGTCGGTGGCTGCGTCATCATGACTTGCTTTGTCCTGTCTTACGTTCTCATTGTATTCACAGAGGTTCACATCCGCTCTTCGGCTGGCTGCTGGAAAGCCTTCTCTACGTGTTCCTCCCATCTGGCCACTGTGCTCCTGTTCTACGGCACCGGAAGTTCTGCCTACATGCAGCCCACAGCCCACTATTCCCCTCTTCAAGGGCGCATGGCTGCCATATTCTATTCTATCTTCACGCCCACTCTGAATCCACTTATCTACAGCCTGAGGAACAAGGACGTGGAAGCAGCTCTGAAGAAGGTGCATCCACAGGTGCCATCTTGGAACCTGGCGTTTAGACATGGGAAGGTCCAGAAACCCACCGGCATTGAATTTCCACTGTAGCCATGCAGAGATCATTAGAAAGGCCACCGTTAGTCTTTAAAATAGCTATTGGCCATTTGTGTTGCTTTTCGGTGTGTGTGCATGTGTGGGAGGGGAAACTGTCTATTCATTAGCCCATGTGTTCAATGGTTTATTTCCTTGGCTGCCCACCTTCTAGTGTCATATTTCCTCCAGACTGAAACATGCAGTCTGGTTGAGGAACACCACAATAAACCCAGAAGACTCACCAAAGTCCCTCCCAGAGGCTAAACATATGGTAAACTGGAGGCAGCTGCAAGCATCTTGTGCTGGGGCCTCCAGCAACAGCTTTCCTGAGACACTGCCCATGCTGGAGTGAAGCTGCCCAAGCCATTTGCATTCCGATATGTAACACCACAACCATGCTGCTATAACTCACGCCAATAAACTCACTGGTCGCCGAGCCAGACTTGGGTGGGAACAATTGCTTCGCCCTGTCTTTGCCGGCCCTGACCTGGCTGAGTAGGCATTTCTGTGCCTCTTCCCAGGAAAAATGATGCACTAGGTATTTATAGATATTAAAAAAAATAACTAGCTCCCTGGCTTTGTAAAAATGGGTTTGGGCTGGCTTGAAGCATGCAGTGGGACCTACTGAGGAAGGCTTCAATGAAGTATTTAAGTATCTAGATTCCCTAGGAATGCCAAAGTAACCCTATTCCTGAGATGTTTGGGGTTTTGAAAATGAGAAATGTAAAGAAGAGTTTGCTTCATATGACTCACAGGCTGGGGCTGGACAGATGGTTCAGCAGTGAAGATCAATTGCTGCTCTTCAAGAGGACCCGAGTTTGAGTTCCAGTTCTCACAATTAGGCAACTCACAACAGCCTTAACTCTAGTCCGAGGGGATCTGCCGCCCTCTTCTGGCCTCTACAGGCACTGCACCAAAGTACAGAAATCCATACATAAACATACACACACAGTTCATACAGAAACATGATGGGGGATGTCCTTCTGTATATATGCTTCTCTTATTGGCTGATGAATAAAACACTGTTTGGCCAATAGAGGCAGGAAGATAGGCAGGGCTAGGAGACAAGGAAAATCCCGGGAAAGGTAGTCAGAGGGAGCCCACCAGAAAGAGACACCATGGAGACACCAAGAAGATAGGACAAGCCAGGTGTTCTCTGGTAAGATAAGGCCTGTAGAAATACATGGATTAGTAGTTATGGACTAATAATTGAGAGAGAGCTAGCCAGTAAGAAGCCCTAGACATCGGCCAACAGTTTTATAATTAATATAGTGTCCATGTGTTTATTTGGGGCTGAAGAGGGCTGCAGGACTTGGTGGGACAAGAAACTTCGGCAACAGAAACATACGTATACACATAAAAATAAATCTTTTTTAAAAATACACAACTAGGGGGAAAAGCAGAGGGATAACTAATAAAAATGTGTGGCCATATAAGATGAAAAATATATAACTACTGATTGATACAAAAGCTGGACTGCATAAAAGGTCAGTATCGTAATCCTAGTGCTAAGATTAAATGTAACAATGTTGACATTCAATCAGACATTTTGGCTCAGCAGGTAAAAAAATGTTGGCTGCCAACTCAAGTACAAATCCCAGGACACACGTGGTGGAAAGAGAAAACCGAGCCCTGAACATTTTCCTCTGAAATTCACACATGTGCCTTCACACACATAAACACAACACAGAGACACTATACACACATGCAGATGCACGATGTTAATATGTTTTTGAAAATGTTAGTTTTTATTATCTCATTTAAAAATGGACTGCAACAAACCAAAGGTTTTTCAGTTAGATTTTAATGTGGGCTAACAATCATAGTCATTATATCTTTATAAAAGCAGAAAAATCACATATGCATTTACAGCATGATTGAAGACTCAAATATACAAAAATTCAGAGAATGCTGACGTAAGACAAATTAAGGAAAAATCAAGGAAACAACCCAAAAGCCCAGTGGCCCAAGCTGTAAGGGCTAAGAGACCTGCTGCAGCACCTATCCAGGGTCCCAAAGTGAAATGCTTCTCAGGAGGGAAGGAGGGGGTAAAGATTTCTGTTATGAGTAGGTTTTTCCCTCCAGCCTGGACCCACCTCCACATCAGCCACAAATAACACACAGACATTGTATTTGATATAAAGCTGTTGGCCTGTTACTAGCATTTCTTATTGGCTAGCTCTGTCTTAAATATTAACCCGTTTCTATTAATCTAAGTACTTCCACGTGGTCTCATCTTAACGGAGAGAGGGGCTGGCGTTCTGCTCTCTCTCCTCCATCTCAGATCTCCTCCCTACTACTTCCTCTCTCCTCCTGGTCTCCTAGCCCCGCCTATCTTGCTTTCCTGTTGGCCAACAGTGCTTTATTTATTAACCAATACGAGAAACATATCTACAGAGTGACATCTCCCATCAGATTTCTATCACACACAATCTGAGGGTCTTGCTCTTTATTCCTGTGTTCTTTACTGTTCTGTTTCTAGTCTAATAACCCTATCTTCTAATTTCTCCATGCTTCTTCTAGCTTCTTCTTCTACTCTAAAAACTCTTCTCCTTCAGGAGTCTTGAAGTGGTAAAGAAGTTTCTTTCATTGGTCAAAAGCACATACCTAGAGTAAGCAACTAGGAGCTGAGCTGCTTACCATGACACCACAAGGGTCCAAGGCCATAGGAGCAAAACCATGACCAGACAGGGAGGGTACAGTGCCCAGTGACAACTTTAAGACACAGATCTATTGTTTTTGTTTGCTTTGTTTTTCCACACAGATCTATTGTTAGCAGACTGGCAAATGAAGAATAGGCATGCTTTAAAGTTAATGTGAGATTAGCTTGGGATAGCACTTTCCTATCTGCTGGAAGAGAGGCTCCGGGACACTCCTGTTCTCTATCTCTCTGGGATCAATAGCTCAACAACTTCAGACATACTGTAACTGTTGTTCTTGGGCATCTGTGAATGCCTCACTTGAGGACTCTTTGCCTGGACACTAACACTGTCCATCTGTCTGCCAAGGAAGATAACTGCAGAGGTGCAGATTTCTAAGTTTATACAAAGACTTGGTTGAGAGAGTAAGGGCATTGGCTGTGACTACTTTCTTGCCGCAATCACACATACCTGGGGGGAGTCATCCAGTATACCAATGCAAGGGGAAAATGTACCCAGAAAACTACTAATGATACTGTAGTGCTGTAGGAAGAATTCCAAAACTGTAATGTGAGGGAAAGAACTCTTCACACAAGAATCTACGACGGGGGACAGCTGATACATTCAGAAGGCAACACACCTTATCCTCTTGCAGATAAGGTTGAGATACGCATCTCTGGTGGCAATATTCACCTTGCTAAATGAGGTATGCCTTCAAGATATTTGCTATCTCTGTTGGGTTGACCCCTGAAATAGGTGCTGAAGTCACCCTGCATAATTCTGTGGTCCGTAGCACTCAAATGTCATCTGTTAATTTCCGATTCAGGGCGGGCTCTTTAAGGAAGAGAGACCTGTTCACACATGTCAGCCAGCTCAACTCAAGAGTGCCATGCTGTGAATCTCTGCTTCTGCTTCCATCAGCTACCAGATGAAGGCTCTAGGATGGCTTTTTAAAGTATCACCATCTCATTATAGAGGAAGGGCACTTAAGGCAGCCTCTCCGCCATTGCTTAGATTCTTAGTTGGGGTCATCCTTGTGGATCCCTGAAGATTTCCTTAGTGCCAGGTTTCTCATTAAGCCCATAATGGCTCCCTGTATTAAGAGATGCATAGCTGAGCACTGAGTCAAACTCCTGGAATCTAGATGTAGAGGGAGGAGTGATGAGCAAAACGGTCAAGACCGTGCTGGAGAAACCCACAGAAACATCTGACCTGAGCAAGTGGGAGCTCACAGACTCCAGACTGAAAGATGGGAAACCAACATAAGACTTGTTAGGACACCTGTGTTCTCTGACTTTCTCAATGCTAGTTGTTCTGCGCCTGCGCCTGTCCCTCTTGAGGATGCATCTGATGGTGCTGAGTGGGGTGTGAGGGTTGGTGGAAGCATTGCTCATACACTGGTACTGGGAAGGCCTGGACTTGAGGGTGATGGCAGAGACAGGTGCTCTACCTGGAAGTTCTGTCACAATCGAAACACTGGCAGGCTCTCTCCTTCATGTAGTCATGTTTCCACTGGTAGCGGATGATATACATCTCTTCGTGGTCCAACTTGGAGGAGGGACTTTGCCACCTCATGGACCTTGAGATTCTGAGAGAGGTACACATCTTGGACTAGGCTTTGCCACACTGGCACTGAAAACATTCATGGCCATGCACACCTGTCCCCTCAGCTGCTCCCACTTAGCCCGAGGAATTGCTCTACCACTCGTCAGGGGTTCCTCACCAGAATGAGTCTTAAGGTGTCTGTTGAGGTGCAGCATGCGAGAGAGGACCGCTGTGATGCTGTGGTGTGCCTCCTTCCGGTGTGGCACAGCGTTTGTCTCCTGAGACCTCCTTGGCTGCTACAGATTCTTCTGCAAAGTTTGCATGGGATGCGGCCGGCTGGATGGGGGCTGGATGGGGGCTGACGCTGACTCCGGGTTCTCACGCTGCAGGAAGGGATGTGCTGCAGAGAACAGAGGGCAAGCGTCAGGCACAATGAGCTTCAGGCGAGAGCGCGGTGAGCCTTTCTCTTGACCCAGGTGGGCTGTGATGGATGGATGCTGTCTGGCTAGCCTACCGTGACCAGCCGATCTCGAGGGTGCTCCCACGCTCCTGGGATTCCCACGCTCTCGGGGTCCACACTACTATTCACTTCTCCACGTTACTGTGGTGCTGCCTTCCTCTGTCGCTTGTGGCGCCTCTTCTTACAGGTCTGAAATCAAGCCAGGGTTAGGGTACTCGTATCCTAATGAAGAAGGGAGACTCATAACTTGGAGTCTGCAAGGTCTGGGTCCTGAAGAGTTTGGGGTAACAGAAAAGGTGCACAGACTCACGGGAGTGACATGAAGCCTGTTTCCCGCTCTCAAAGTCGTTCTTCTCAATCACTACACCCCA